CAAGAACAAAGAATATTTGAAAAGAAAGAAAAGAAAAGGATGAGATGACACATGTAGTTGTTTATGACCTTAATAACCTTACATGTGTATTAGTTTAATGTAAACTAAACAGTTTTTCCTTTATTGAGAAACAGGTGGTCCATTTTTGGACCACCGGTCCTCAAAGGGTTAATGTAGTGAGTTGTGCATGGCGAGTTGAGTAATTATGATAGAGCGTGTATGTTGACTTTTCTTGACTAAACGAAAATGAAATATGACGAACTTGTATGTGTTTGTGACAACAGCACTGAAACAATTTTAAATAATTATTTACTTTACATTAGAAGAAATCAAATCATAGTGCTCTTTTGTTCTGTTCCATTTGCCTGATCATTATAGTCGACTGTCAACCACTTTATTGTAGTGGTCTACAGAGCAACCATCACCGTTGATTAAGAAGACTGACAGATGAAATTGTTCATTTTCATTTTTCTATACTCTTCAAATACATTTCTAATATGTCATGCGATAATGTGCAAGCTGCTTATGAAAATGAGACGTCGAATATGTTACCTGTAATGTCGTTTAAAACAGCTAAGTCAATTGTCTTATTTCGATATAGTCTGTTATTTCGCGTCTACAAGGCATCTTTGAATGTTCTTTCTTAATTATGATTAATTAACTATGCTACCGTGCTTATCATAAGATTTTAAATATTTTCACGCCAATGTTTCCCTTCAGCAACATCACGTTTTTTAGATCATATCACATTTCTTTCATCATCTTCTTACTCAATTCTGTTTTCACCTCATTTAGTTTTCATTTCTGCACCGTTTCTTTTATGCTTCGTTTAATTTATATTTTGTTTTCTGCCGTGAAGTTACTATTAGAACATTTGTACAGCAGCTATACATTTACGAACTAAGTGATTGCAAACTTCGATTCCTCCACATACATATCATAGAAAGAGAACACTTACTATATTTTTCTGAAAAATACTAAGAATAATACGGCATGAAGAAATCATTTTCCTTTAGTATAGGTGATGAAGACGAGAAAGTTATTCAGTGACATGTTTTTTGTATTCAGTTAACAAACGATCGGTATGATACTGCGTATACTCGCTGCCTTTTGCTGGTATTTTGTTGCAGTCTCTGGTCGAGGACCAGCAACGCTGTCCGGTCAAAGACCGCTTCGCCCTTACGAACAGGTACTCACTCCAGCAGCAAAAGCCGAACTCCTCAGTTTACAACGGCAACAAACGACGACAAACTTGAAGAGTCTTACTGGATATACGGCGAACGCTCAAGCAGATTACATTCAATCGCTGCCTGGTATATCCAATTCGAATATTAATTTCCGTCAATTTTCGGGATATCTCAATGTAAGTACCAAGAAACACATTTTCTACTGGTTTATCGAAAGTCAGCGAAAGCCAGCAACCGATCCTGTGATATGGTGGAGCAACGGCGGACCCGGCTGCTCTGGACTAATTGGAATGTTAGAAGAGTTTGGTCCATTTCGAGTTCAGCCTGATAATATAACACTTCTGATTAATCCGTATTCATGGAATCGTTTAGCGAATATTTTGTTCGTCGAATCACCTGTTGGAGTGGGATTTAGTTATAGTGATGCGCCCAATCAGGATTATTTGGCTTGGAATGACAGTCAAAGCGCGCAAGACAATTATTTTGCTGTACTCTCATATTTCGCCAAATTTCCTCAGTATCGTAAGAATGATTTTTACTTGAGCGCCGAATCATATGGCGGCCACTATGTTCCGCAGTTAGCAAAAGAGATTGTAGACCGAAATGCAAAGTTGACCACAAGCGACGTTAACAAAATTAATTTGAAAGCTCTTCTAATCGGAAATCCTGTAAATGATGCTTTTTCAGTACAGTATACTGGAAATGATCAAGCTTACTGGGGACATTCACTGATTGACAATCCAACATGGCAAGGTATCGTTAAATACTGCATTGAACCATTCGAAAAGGATCCATACAATTCCAGCACTGGAAAAGGATATCAACCATGGACAAATGCCACTTGTGTCCATTTTGATGATAAAGCTAATTTTTTGGTGGCACCGCAATATACTGATAGTAACGCGAATCCAACAGGTCTCGATCCATATGTAAGTGAGCAGAGATTGTTCAAATACTTCATTTCCTTGTATTTGAAATTATTTTTAGGGTCTTGACTACTCGTATTGTACATCTGTTCAACAACAACGAGAAACGTTGTGGTACTTTAAACATCGAGGAAGCGTCACGAATAGTGACAGTGATGTCGTGTTCCGTCCCTGTATCAATTCGTACACGATTGCCTATCTAAGCTCGTCAAAAGTACAAAAAGCACTTCACGTTCAATCATCCAAAATTCCGCCGTATCAGACACGAACGGATAAGTCGAGTGGTTGGTATGATTGTTCGGCGATGGTTGGCCAAAATTACAAATCTACGGATTACTATCTCGATATCACACCGGTGTATACATACTTGATCAAAGAGCTTCCCCAACTAAAAATTCTAGTTTTCAGTGGTGACGACGATGGTGTTTGCGCGACTGTAGGAAGTCAATATTGGATGTATAGAATGAATCTAACTGTCACGTCGGCATTCCAGCCATGGTATGACTTCTATGAGCCGGATCAGTTTGGTGGTTATTTTGTTAAATTCAAAGGCATAGCATTAGCTACAGTACACGGGGCTGGACATGAAATTGCTTATTACTCACCTCAGCGAGCTTATGGATTTTTCCAATATGTATTAGGCGGAAAATTTTGGCCGTAGATTTTATGCACATCAGTTATCTGATGCCCTTGCTTTTCCGCTGCAAACATTACACATTTTTTCCAGTATTTTTCTACCATTCAAGCACGAAAACAGCAACTTTTTTATAGCTGGATATTTTGTGATATACACATACAATGGACGAATTGCCTACACAGTCGTTTCTTCGTTTTTAAACATTATGAGGGATAGCTTTGCCCGCGTTTTTGCATGCTTTAATCTACATTTTCTTAGTTAACTGATTTTTTGTCATTAAAACAGTAAAAAGTTAAATATTCGGCTCCGTTTTCGACGCTAAGTCGAAATATGATATTTTTACTCCATAAAAAATGAGTTCGGGTGTGGCAAATAGAGAATTACGGATAGAATTCCAATTTTTTCGCTCCTGACTCATAAAAAATGTGCTCTCTCAGGAACAAAAACAAATTTAAAAGAAGCGATGCGCACTTTTGTAGTGCATATCGACTAACGAAAGTTTTAGCTTCTATCCATAGTGACTCCAAAACTGACAATTTTCAAATGACTTTTTTTGCATGACCGTGACCGTACTCGAAACAGAAAGAGTAAAAAGTTAAATAGTTTGCACATTTAATTACAAGGTAAGTACCGTTCTCCATTTATTTGCAGATTATCTGGTAGCGGTGTATACCGCAATAATAGTGTTTTTACAGTCGACATAATAGTTGTATAAATACGCACTCAGCTTCGTTATAAGCATTTCTGGCATAAAAATAAGTTTCAAGTGAAATTTCATAATAAGTTCTTCAAAAAAAGATTCCTGATAAAGCCATGCTTTGTTTTACCTTCTATCAAATACTTCAAAGTGCACGGGAGAGTTCAGAGAGATTCCTTAAACTTGTCGTCGTAGAACTCTAAGATCTAAACGTGAGAAGACTGAACTAAAACGACTTCAGTTCAGTCAATAGTACCCGACAGACATTGAAAGCTCGCACTAAGACTAAAAATGCTCATGCAAACCACTTAGAAATGTTCAAAAAGGTTCTTCCGGAAGGTGAGTAATGTCATAACTGACTAATAAAAGTTGCGTAACGATAAGAACGTTATTAAGACCCCTATCTCATTTAAAAATCTCAAATATCGCTTCTCTAGAAAAAAATCATGAAATTTTGATATGGTAGGAAGTCAATATTGTATGTATGGAATGAATCTAACTGTCACGTCGGCATTCCAGACATGGTATGACTTCTATGAGCCGGATCAGTTTGGTGGTTATTTTGTTAAATTCAAAGGCATAGCATTAGCTACAGTACACGGGGCTGGACATGAAATTGCTTATTACTCACCTCAGCGAGCTTATGGATTTTTCCAATATGTATTAGGCGGAAAATTTTGGCCGTAGATTTTATGCACATCAGTTATAATTATGAGAGAGCTGAAAAAGTCGACTTTTTTTTCGCCAGACGGATTAAATTTTGTGTAATGAATAGCGGCTATTAGATTAAACATTTTCTGAAAGTTTCATCAATGACGTCTCAACGGTTGCGAAAACGAAGCAAGAATGGAAAGTATTATGAACAACCACATCATTCGATGAAGCAAAAGTTTAGGTTTGCCAACAGAAGGCAAAACAGTTTAATGTTTGCCAACGGCGTCGATCAGATTGTGGTTTAATGATTAGTTTTTTCTACTCTGTTCATATTTCTTGTTGTATATATATTCTTCTTCTATACTGTTCACTAATTAATTTTTCTATTAAATTGCTATATATTCTTGTATATATTGTATATATTTTCTTTAATTTAAATATCTTTAATTGATTTATGGATCAAAAGTCACTTTTTTGGGGATCAAAAAAATTAATACCCTTGTTTTTATCATCTAGAATTGCCATTTGATAGGATTTCTGTTATGTAACCAAGCAACATAAGAGGCCTACAGTTACTCAGAAAACCTAGAAAACTCGGCAAACGTGTTCTAAAACAGCTTTAAATCATGAATAACCCGGACAGACGTTGTCGTTTCTTTGAAACAATCACTTTTGTTCAACAGCGCTATGTTCAACGAGAATAAACGCTACTCACATAGCGCCTTCTATAAAAGTAATTATCTTCGCAACCGTTGAGACGTCATTGATGAAACTTTCAGAAAATGTTTAACTAATAGTCGCTATTCATTACCCAAAATCTCAGCTCAATCCGTCTGGTGAAAAAAAAGTCGACTTTTTCAGCTCTCTCATAATGTCTGATGCTCTTGCTTTTCCGCTGCAAACATTACACATTTTTTCCAGTATTTTTCTACCATTCAAGCACGAAAACAGCAACTTTTTTATAGCTGGATATTTTGTGATATATACATACAATGGACGAATTGCCTACACAGTCGTTTCTTCGTTTTTAAACATTATGAGGGATAGCTTTGCTCGCGTTTTTGCATGCTTTAATCTACATTTTCTTAGTTAACTGATTTTTTGTCATTAAAACAGTAAAAAGTTAAATAGTTTGCACATTTAGTTACAAGGTGTACCGTTCTCCATTTATTTGCAGATTATCTGGCAGCGGTGTATACCGCATAATAGTGTTTTTACAGTCGACATAATAGTTGTATAAATACGCACACTTTTAGCAATAAAAATAGCATATTTCGAGCTAGCTATGAGTTTTTTTGCATGACCGTGACCGTTACGGTAATCGAAACAGAAAGAGCACGCATATCTCTAATCATCATACGCAAATGAGACACGGGTCTTAATAACGTTCTTATCGTTACGCAACTTTTATTAGTCAGTTATGACATTACTCACCTTCCGGAAGAACCTTTTTGAACATTTCTAAGTGGTTTGCATGAGCATTTTTAGTCTTAGTGCGAGCTTTCAATGTCTGTCGGGTACTATTAACTGAACTGAAGTCGTTTTAGTTCAGTCTTCTCACGTTTAGATCTTAGAGTTCTACGACGACAAGTTTAAGGAATCTCTCTGAACTCTCCCGTGCACTTTAAAGTATTTGATAGAAGGTAAAACAAAGCATGGCTTTATCAGGAACCTTTTAACAATTCTAGTTTTAAGGCACTTCAAATTCACAGTTTAAGCACCATTTTGTTTTTGACTTAATCATACATCATTCGATAGACAATTGCACGCTGATCAAGAGTATACAGCTTCCAGTCTTTCCAATGCAGTTTTTCAGTGAAAAATTTCGAAAAACTTCAAGGATCGTTTTGTTTCAAAAACCGCTAATATTTTTTAAAAACTGAGTAACTCGCTTCTACCCCATTCTGAAGCGACAGAACAATGTTTTTCTTACTCAGTGTTGAAAACTACAACTAGAAACTCTAACCGAAGGTTCCACGCAAAAAGTATTTTCAACGCGGGAAACGGGACCGATATATCTTCGGTTTAATTGAATTCAAGCTCAAAATTTGACTGAGCCTGGCTTTGGGAATCAGACCATTGAAAATAGTGCATGCCTCTCTTGTAAATCGATCTAGCTTTTTTGGTGAAGAAATTAATAATACCATTTACTTTGCGAAACCGAATTTGCTGAGCTAAGTAAAACACACGTTTTCGTATTTCAGATTAAAACATACATTTAGTTTGGTTTTCTCTTCTTTCTCTCTTTTTTATCTGTTAAGATGAGGATAGCTGAGGGTAGATGAGAACAGATTAAGCAGACGAGCGAAGATGAGAGTAGGTGAGAGTAGACGATTTGATTTCGCAAAATGAGAGTAGAAGAGAATAGATGAGAGTCGATCAGAACAGGAGATTTTATTTCGATGCGAAATTATCTTCTACTGTATTTTTGATATCGCAAAGAGTCCTAATTGATCGACTTTCTGCGAGATTTTGTTGACAAAAAGTGTTTTTACTTAAGTTTCTGCCAGAAAAATGGCGAAAAGTGCTCCAAAAATCAGGTTTCTGTCAGAATTTACTATGAGGTTTCAAAAATTTGGCAGAAAGTATTAGAAATTTTCACAGGAAGTCTGACATAATTTCCAGTTTTGACGGGGGAAATACCCCCCCATCCCCCGCTAATCAGGAAGCCTGTACCTGACAGACGTGTGACAATGCATCAATATCAGAAATGTCAGCACGACGAACAACGAATTGAGTATTCATGTATTCAAAGTAACTGCTGTCGATTTTAAAAAACAGTGCGCACAACAACAGTGGGTTTGAGTGACTTTTATAGTTTCTCAGTTTCTTGCGCCTTTTTCAAATTTAAATCGCGTAGCAAATGGCATATTCAGATTCAGCATGCAAAACTGCATCGAATGGTGTGTCTTTTAACTCGATCTGACGTCTTTTATTTTCTTGACCATATTCATCGCTTGTGGTAAGAAGGCTGGATACTGATGAAACACCAAAGAGTGAAAGTCGTCAGGTGAAGCTGAAAGACACACCATTCGATGCAATTTTGCATGCTGAATCTGAATATGCCATTTACTATGCGATTCCACCACTCCTTTACCTGGAAAGCCCGAACTTTTCCAAAGCCCCCTTAAAACCACATTAAATAGCCGACCAAATTTTTTTCCCTCAAATACCACTGTGTGCCCTGAGTTTGTCTTTCGAATGGTAAAAACCGCAGGTCGCTAGCCACTTGCGTTCTGGAGTTGTTCAAATTCTGCTCACGCGCACTGATTTTTGAAATCGACAGTAGTTATGAGTCATCTGGTACTAGCTGGCTTATTGAAGATGAATTGTCAAAGACTATTGTTCATGCAGGCACATTTGAACCAAACTTTGTTTTGTATATTCTTTAAATCAAATAGTCCTGTTCTTATACATAGTGCAGATAAAGGCAAGACTGTAGATCGCAAGTATTGTATTACAAATTGTCTGAAGCCTTTGTGTATTGGTGCTGTTCAATCTGATGACTGCCCAGATCAACCAAATACTATCTCATTTTTTCATTTCGACTGTGGCACCTGCACTTCCGTTCTCTGATACTTCCTTATTTGGGCTAGGCTAAGATGAACACGATAGGTCTGCTTCTTCATTTTAGGCGAAGGTGATGCGTGTTGTCTGCATCATATGAATCACC